AATTCTGTATCAGGACTGGCCCGCGTTTGTCCCTGACCAAACATCTCCTCCACAGCACACGGCTAACCACATTCTTCAGCATTTCTCAGCAAGGTTAGACTAAGTTCATGTTCTCTTGGCACCCTGCCCCAGGACATCGTGTGAGCTGCAGAGCAGAGATGGAAACCAAGAAGCCACGGGCTGAGGCTGGGGGGAGCACCTGCCATGGGGAGAATTTAGGGACCATGATGTGGCAAGGTCCTAGATCTAGTCGTGCTCCAGAGTGGATTGCTGTTAAGTTCCGGGGAGTCATTTCCGACTCATTGTGACCCTGCATAGGGTTCCCGAAGCTTTCAGTCCTCAAGGGAGCAGCAAGTCTCATCTTTCATTCCAGAGTGTGTGGAATGTGCTTATCCCACAAAGGCAATCAAGCTCTTCAGGGAGCTGGTGGGCAGCCAGGCCCCAAGCTGGGGAGACACTATCCAGATTCCTCAGGTGTTCAAGGAGTTCTAGTGTGGCGCTGTGGGATAAAGCACTAGGCCACAAGGTCAGTGGTTCAAACTCACCAGCTGCTCCTTGGAAACCCGATTCTCAATGGCACTTAACAACAACAACAAGATGAGACCCAGGTGGTTGTTTTAGAGGAAGTATCCTGACCTTACTTTTGACTCCCTTGAGTGTGACCTGCCTCAAACTCAGAGAGTCAGCACCTTCCATTGCTGGGCTCCAATGTAAGCTCGGAATCGTCTGTCTCCAGCATCCCCAGTAGGGGTCTACCCAGGAGTTTTCAGGTGGGCATAAGGAAAGGAACATGCTTCCTTACTGGAGGAGGGGTGTCAATAAGGGGTGGGGGAGAGAGAATGAAGTCAGAGGAAGGAGAGTCCGTTATGCCAGCAAAGGTGGAAGCTTACTTAAAAATAAAGTTCACAGTAGATATCAGAGCTGATATACAGAGAGAAATGCACTCCTGACGAAGTCTTGGATCACCTGGATCCACCCATACCTGAAGCTGTACTTATTGTTAGAGTTCTTAGACACTGCTGTCCAGCTGACTCATAGAGACCAGAGTTGCTCCCTAGGGTGTCTAAGATTGCAGTCTTTATAGGAACAGACAGCCTCATCCTTCTCCCTTGGAGAGGTTGGTAGTTTCAAACCACTGGTCTTTCGGTTAACAACCCAATATTTAACCCACAGCACCACCATGTCTCCTTAGAGACCAGAGCCTGTAAATTGTTTTTTCCTCTTCAGTCCAATTTGACTTCAGCCTCTTTCACTTGCTACCCAAAGCACCGTAACAGATGCAGTGACCTGAAAGATGGGTTCTTCAGCTGAGATCAGAATCATCAATCATGTCGGAACTAAACAGGAGCAAAAGGAAAAGAAAAGAAAAAGAAAAATGGATGTCTTGGAAGCATGCTAGTTTCCTGCTGGATAGTTGAGTGCCCAGAGAACCGACTGGAAAAGGACATCCTCAAGTATCAGGATTACCAAGGGTCTCTCTCCTCCTGAGTAACTGGAGTCTGTGTTCCAGTCCCTAGAAGGACATTGTGAGTTTTTACCCCCAAACCAACTTTAGAACCTTGACTGTTGAGGACACAGATTGGGGTGCTAGCCATTTGAGACCCATCCTGTGGAACCAACCCTGCCCATTCCCTGGGGACAGACCAGTAGCCATGTTTGTACACCTCACTGCTCTGATGCCAACCGACTTAACAAACTCCCGACCCACCTCCCGCTCCAATTCTCTCTGTTGAATCTGGAATCAGAACAGAGGCAGATGAACGTGGCTTTGGAGCCTGACCCAACTTGGGGATGGAGGAGAACAGATAGAGGGTGAAGGACAAAACAGAGAGAGACAGAAGGTGAAAGCACACTGGGATCACTGCCGTTTCTGTAACATTCTGGTGGCTTCCAAAGGGAAACCTTGAGAAAGGATTGAAGACTTCATTTTGCTCACATCAATCATCAACACTCATGGAAGCAGCAGTCAAGAAATCAAATGACATATTGCATAAGGCAACTCAGCTGTACAAGATCTCTTTTTCGTTGTTGTTAAGTTTTTATTGTGAATTGAGTGATAGTTTACATGGGAGAGCATCAGTTTTACGCTCATCCTATCATATTTCTTTTCATTGCAATGATTACAATCTCCTTTATGCAGCATCATTCAACAGTATTTGCTTCTATTCCCTCTGATTTTATTTGTTTGTTTTTTTTGGGGTGGGGGGTATGTACAGAAAAACACTCAGGAATATATAATCATTTAAACAACCAAAGGGCATGTTCTGCAAGCCTGATTCTTGGCTGCCAGCACACAGCCTTTCTCTCTCCATGAGTCTAGAGTACTCAGCTGCTCCCTCTCTCCATGTCATCATCTCTGGTGTCGCTGCTTCTCTGGATAGGGTCCTGCATTCCACTCATGTTCTTCTCCCTTGGTGGTCTTAGGGTCCTCTGTTCCTGGACAGGAAGATTAACTACTGCCCCACTTTTTTTTTTTAAACAAAGCTTTTGCCTTTACAGTTGTGACAGTCACAAATAATCATGATAACAATTACTCACTATTGAATCATAAGAATCTTATCCCCATCTCCTTTCACCAGACCCATCTAGACAAGATAAAAACTCTTCAGTGGGGATTCTACCTTCCTCACACTCTGAAACTAAACTCCCTCTTGAAAACTTGTAAGCCAGTCACTCCATGCCTTTATAGCTCCCCCTCTCCCCCATTTTAGGTAGCCAATGTCTAAGTTGCCCATCCCTATCAACCCTGTATACAGAGAGGATTAGATTGATACTTGATGTGAAGACTCCTTCCCTTTGGAGAAAAAGAGGAAGACTCCCAATGAGATGGATTGACACAGTGGCAGCAGCAATGGGCTCAAATGTAGCAATGATAGTGAGGTTGGACCAGGACCTTGCAGTGTTTTGCTCTGTTGTGCATAGGGTCAATATGAGTTGGTACTGACTCGATGGCACCTAACAACAACAACAAAAGAGAGACTTGACAGCTGACATGTCCATGGGCTTCTTGACTCTCTTGGGTTTAGGTTGGGTCGCTCCCTTGACAAGCTACCCTGTTGGACCTTGTGTTCAAGGTGTATCAGACAGGTCTTTGATGCTGACCAGTGGGAGACACACAGGATGGTTATGGTGGAGGAAGGTGTCCGCCATGTTGAAGGAGGAGTGGAAATCGGACTTCTGAAGGAGGTAGCACTTGCGGTGGTCTGTCCTCCACATTTTCTCTGTCCGTCTCTCTAATCTGGTGACTGTCGCCTCAGTCTACCAGTACTCACTTCATTATCTCTCCACAGACTTTCTGTCCTCTTGTTAGTCATACACTCTGCCTGTCTTGCCTTTTTCAGTGTGTTGGTTGAGTCTGTCACCAGGCAGCGAGCTCTTGATGGGGAGTGCCGTATGCTTCTCTTTTTGCTGTAAACATAGCATATCATCCTCCCGGGGCTGTTGCTTTGCCCCTCAGATGGCTTTGTGTGCTTGGATTGTCAACATCTCTGGGACACTCTTTCTGAGCTGCGTGCTGAGCACAGGACTGAACCACGACACACCCCTGCCACCGTAGATAGGAGAGGGAGCTGAAGAGACGTAGAAGAATTTAGATCCAGGGTTGGGTCTGCCCTGACAGCTGTGACAAAAATCTAGAAGCATGTTCCTTCTCTCCATGTTGTTGTTGTTAGGTGCCATCGAGTCATCTCCGGCTCATAGAGACCCTACGCACAACCGAATGAAACCCTGCCAGGTCCTGCTACATTCTCACAGTCTTTGTTATGTTTGAGCCCACTGCTACTGCCACTGTGCCAATCTTCTCATTGGGGGTCTTCCTCTTTTTCTTGGACCCTCTACTTTAGCAAGACTGATGTGCTTTTCAGGGACTGGTCCTTACTTATGATAGGTCCAAAGCATGTGAGACCAAGTCATGCCATCCTCATTCCCAAAAGGAATTCTGATTGTACTGTTCCCAAGACGGATGTGCTCTTCTGGCAGCCATGGTACGTTCTCTCTGTAGTGGAGACAGAATGTTCCCCACCTTCCCCAGGGGGTGAAGGTGAAATCAGACCACGATGTTCTCTCTCACATTCACAGATGAGGAGAGAACCCCCAGGCTCATGAAGAAGGGGCAGAAAGTCAAGCACAGACATTAAACACATGAATGCCGGGGTCCACTCCGGAAGCTGGCACTTCTGGAAATGAATGAAATTACACGCCTGCCTTAGTAATTCTGTAGCTTCAGTTCCTAGGAAGGACTATGGATGACAAATATGGCTAGGGAAGGATAATGAAAATGACATTTTTAATGAAGGATTGACCAATGTGTACTTTCCCTGTGATGATTTCCTCCCCTATTCCTCTCCGCCCTTTCAAACAAGGCAAGGGACCTCCTCTCTGGTGGAGACAACTGGAGCTCACCCATATCCCTAATCATTTGTTCCCAGAAAACGGGCAAACTACATTTCCCAGATGTCTTTGTACTGCCCTTCCCTCCCTGTGGGCACAGGACACAACACTGACCTTGACCTCACTGGGTCCTAGACCCACAGGACAAGATCTAGGTACAGTGACAGTTCCCCATCAAATAAGTGCTGTGGCATGCAAGCCCAGTGCTAGATGACCAGGCACCCTCGCCCATGCCTCCCTGGGACCTCAGACTGGGAGCCTGGGCTCTGGGTGGGAACATAGGTAACCTGGAGACCAGATGAGCTCAGACTGACTTTCTCCTTCTAGGGGCCTGACCGTCCCCAGCTGAGGCCACTGAGCCCCAAGGGGAAAGCCTAGGGAGTGGGTCCCAGGAGACAGGAACCCCCAAGGCCCAGGCATGCTGGTTACTGACCAGAGTCCACATTCATGGGCTGTGAGACTGCAGGCATCTTTCTAGAGGAGATTGGGAAAGTCTCAGAAGGATGCAGAGAGCAGGAAAGAGGCGTTTTCAGCTGACATGCTAAATAGGGCCCTGCATTAGGAAGAACACCAGCCTCTGAGGCCAGGCCCTGATCTTAAAGGAGGCGTTGTCAATTCACCTCCACAGCAGAACCACATGATGAGGACCACAGCACACGACCTGTGGAGGGGCTGGTGGGCATGCGGGAGAAGTGACACCAACATGGTGGGCTGCAGAGACTTGGGAGCTTCCCACGGCAGGGGCAGGCAGGGGAGAAAACTCGCTCCGGGCGAACCCCCGTGGCTGGCCTCTCCCGGACTGACACCTTGGGGAGCTGGCTCTCAGATTCCACCTCATTTGTGCCTGAGGAAGGTGTCTCCTTGCCTGTCCCCTCAGGCTCCTCCCTCAGTGCCCTGTCTAGCATGACCCTTAGGGACTCCTGCTGGTTCCTACTTTGTTTCCTCCATCTGCCCACCAGGATATAGACAATGGGATTGGCGGTGCTGCTAATGGCCGAGGAGAGGCGTGATATGCTGACGTACACTAGATTCACATTCTGCTCGAGTTTGAACCAGTACAGGATGAGCCAGTAGATGCCAAGGGGCAGGGAGAAGATCAGGAACACCACGACCAAGGCCAGGATGACCAACAACAACCTCGAGGGCCGCCGGCGCCACTGCTGGGAACTTCTCTTGATTCGGACAAAGAGGATCAAGCTGGACAATGTTATCAGGGGTGTGAAGACCCCGAGAATGAGGATGCCCAAGACAGTGTTAATGGCTGAACACTGCTCTTGGTCACTATTCCTAAAGTGGTGGCAGAAGAAAGAGGCCAGCGTGTTCATGAGGAGGGACAACACCCAGAGCAGGGTGCATACAACAGTGGATGTGTGTCGGGGCCTCTGCACCTTGTACCAGATGGGGAAGAGGACAGAGAGGCAGCGCTGGGTGCTGATGGCTGTCAGCAGGCTCAGGCTGGCCGTGTACGCAAAGTACTTCACTCTCCTCACCACTTCATAGGCGCTGGTGTCGTTGGCCCGGAAGATGACTGATAGACAGATGACACAGCCCATGCAGAGGAGGAAGAGAAGGTCAGCCACCGCCAGGTTGAGCACATAGACGTAGAAAGGATTCCGCTGGATGCTGAAGGCCAGCAACCAGACCACCAGGCTGTTGCCCACTATTCCACACACACAGATGAATGCAGCCATGACGTTGACCACAAAGGCCAATGTGTATACTGCATCCGTCCCATTCCGGGCCAGCTCTGGGATCTGGCTGCTGTTCAGAATCTGGCTCATTCCTGTGGAAGGAAGATGGACCAGCGTGAATATCTGTGTCACATGCGCCATGTTGTTTCTGGGAGACTCCCACCTCCCCCGAAGTATTGACTTCTTTTAGCCACAAACCATGACCAGGAGGCCTCACACCTTTCCCACTCCCCTGACTGCACCTCCATCAGCCAGCAGACCCACCAAGATGGGCCTGCGGTGGTTGTAGACCCCTTCATCAAGTTAGACGCTCTCTTCTAGTATGAGTTTGAGTTTTGGATTGTACTTTTACATTCTGAGGAGGTGTTGTCTTTTCCCAATGCTTTTTAAAATATAATGCTGATCGGTATGAACGCTTTCCTGTAATCTTTTAACCCACCCACAGCTCCATGGGAGAAACCTGAGGTTGTCTGTTCCCATAAAGATTTACTGTCTCAGAAAATCAAAGGAGCAATTCTCCTCTGTCCCACATGGTCACTGTGAGTTGAAATTGACTGGATGGCACTGGGCTTGCTTTGGGTTTATTGGTTTACTACCTATTCTTTTTCTTTAACAGATTTCAGTGCTTACTATTTGCATCCTCCCCTCACCAGTCTGTCAGTTTGCTGTTCAGTGGTGGCTCGTGTGTTGCTATGATGCTGTGGCGCTGTGGATTAATGCGCTGGACTGCAAAGTTATTTGAACTGCAAGGTCAGTGGTTCCAGCTCACGAGCCACTCCTTGGACACACTACACAGGGTCACTGGGGGTCAGAATCCACTTGTCAACTAACAACAGGGTCACCATGGTGGACAGGTTTCAGTGGAGTTTTGAGACTCAGTCAATCTAGAAGGAAAGGACTGTTGATTTTCTTCCAAAAATTAGCCAATGCAAACTCTATGGATCAAAACTGAATATTGTCTGACTGGACTCAAATATTCCAACAACCTGAAAGTGGTTCAGAACTGGCCATTCTGCTATACACGAGGTACCATGAGTCAGAGCTGCGTCCATGGCAACTAGCAAACAACTCTGTCCATTCCTAACTGATCACAGTCTTGTTGTTAAGTGCCATTGAGTCGGTTCCGACTCAGAGTGACCCTGTATTGGGTTTCCAAGGAGCGGCTATTGAACTTGAACTACTGACCTTCCAGTTCAAAGACCCTTGCAGTCCAGCGCACTAACCCATAGCACCACACCAGGACTGCAATCACAGTTCCTCTTCAAATAATGTCATACCGATTCATGTAGAGTGTAAAACCTTGTACCATTATACCCTTTTCCTTTCCTTATCTTTTGTGATGACAATACACGTAAGCCTACACATTTTATAACTACGTAACAGTGCACTCTTATCATTTTGTTTTAAGCAATTCTCTCTTAGACTAATGAAAACCGTTTTTAAATGTTTTAGTAGTTATCCATTTAGGCTCTGCGTTCCTTTGTGTAGATCTGAGTTTCCATTCAGCGATATTTTTGTTGTTGTTGTTGAAAATCCTTTCAAATGTCTTGTAGTGTAGGTTTGCTAGCAACAAATTCTCTTGGCTTTATTATAATTTTTTTTTTTTTTAATTTCACCTTTATTTTTGAAGGATCGTTTCTACGGGCAAAAATCTAGGGTGATCATTGTTTCCTTTCAGCACTTTAAAGATGTGATTCCATTGCTTTTGGGCTTGCAAGGGGTCTGTAATACTTTTTTATCCCCCTCCGTCTTTTTTTCTATTCAGCCTCCCCCGGCTCCATTTCTGTTTCTAAGATCTTCTCTTTGTCACTAATTCATTATGAGTATGATGAAAGTCCAATATGGTTTGGTGTCCTTTGATGTTTGTCAAGAGGGTTAACTGAGCAGCTTGGATTTGAGAATTTATAATTTCAACGAGTCTGTAAATTTCTAACCATGTTTTCCTTTAGATTTTTTTTTTTGCGTATGTATCCTACACTCTCTTTAAGGAGCTCTGGTAGTGTAGTGGTTACGAATCGGGCTGCCAACCTCAAGGTCAGCAGTTCGAAACTACCAGCTGTTCCATGGGAGAAAGATGAGGCTTTCTGCTCCCGTAAAGATTTACAGCCTCGGAAACCCTGTACAGGGTCGCTATGGGTTGGAACGGACTCCAGGGTACTTAACAACAACACTCGCTTTGTTTTTATTTTATTTAAATTAGCATATTCAAATTGCTTGCTCTTGTCCCACAAGTTGTTGAAGCTCTATTTGCTCAGTCCTTTTTAATTCAGTTGCTTCACTTTGAATAGTTTGAATTTCTCTATCTTCAATTTTCACTTCTACAGTTTGTAATCTACACTTAATCCAGTCCAGAGCTTTTCCCACCTAGAGGTTTCCTTTGGTTTTTATTTATATATTCTATTTTTCTCCATATTATATTTCAATCTTTGAGTATTTTTACAGTCATTGTTTTAAGCCCCTAGCCTGCAAATCCCATCACCATGGTCATTTCTGGGTCTTTTTCTCTTTATTAATTTTACCTCAGGTTGTGGATCCATTCTGCAGCTCCTTAACATGTCTAGCGATATCTGATTCAATTCTGGACATTGTGAGTTTCATATTGTTGAATTATATATTCTGTTGTCTTCCTCTAAAGACTGATATAGTCATTACAGCAGTTGTTATATTTACTTGAGGAGTAAGCTTGATCCTACGAAGACATGTTTTTATATGTTTTGTCTTGCTTTCAGTTTTCATAGGGGGTCTACAATAGCTGTTAGAGTGGCCTGCACGGGCTCACTACTGAATGCCCCAGGTGTCTAACAAGGTCCCCCTTCTCTGGCTTATCTAAACTTGAACGTCCCCCAGCTCTGTGTGAGCCCCTGGAATTGTCCAGCTGCCAGCTCCCCGGTAGTCATTCTTGTCCCAGCTTCGTGAAGTTCATGCTGGGATCGCACAGCTTCATTTTCAGAGACTCAAGAGGACCCTTATGTGCACTTTGGAGTTCTTTCTTTGAGGAGTACACTCCATTCTCTCTGGTACTCTGTCTCAGAGCTTCAGCTGCTTCAATCTCCCTGAAGTCTGACTTTTGTCTCCTCATCTCAAACCGACCTTCATTCTTTGCTTGGATTCCCCCACTTCATGTGCCACTGTGCAGAAAATGTTTGCTGACAAAGAGCTATCCTTTATAGGACTCATCATCGAAGAGGTGGTGTCCTTATCAAAAAGGAAGTGAGGCATAGAAAGGTGGCCATGGGAAAATGCACCTACAAGTCAAGGAATGCCTGGGGCCACCAGACACCCAGAGAGACAAGAAAGGATTCCTCCAGCCTTCAGAGGCAGCGCATGGACCAGAGCCAGCATAATGTGGACTTCTGGTCTCTAGAAATGTGAGACACTACATTTCTGTTTGATGAAGTCACTCACTCTGTGGTGCTTTGTTACAGCGGCTGCTGAAACCTAATACAAACACCAGATAAAGAGAGACACTTCTCACCTTCTTGGAGATGCTGTTCTCCATGGGACAGAGCTGACAGGCATGAAGACACATGAACTGTGAGTTTCAGATGCTGATAGCTATAGGAGAGGTTGTGACCACCACGATGACATAGAAACATCTAGAAACGATTCTTATAGACGTCGGGTGGGCTCCAAAGACCCCTCTGAAGTTGGACACTCATCAGAGACCCCTGGATGCTCTGAAGAGCCAGCTAGCTGTGTAGCTGAGGGTGTCAGGGAGGTGATGACGGGTTTGTTGAGAAATGTGGATGGAGGTCAGCGGCTTTCTTTCTAAGAAAGATACCAGTGCCTGATTACTACGTGTGATGTGAGAGACTCAGGGAGAGGAGTTTCCTTGGGGAGGAGAGTGGGGCTCAGCGAGGAACTGCGGTCACGATAGGGAAGGTCAGGAGAGTAAAGGGTACAGGGTACTCTCTGTTCTCAGGCTCCTGCTGTCTCCATGACCACAGAAAGGGCATCAAGAATTGGGACCAGGCAGTGACTGCTCAGCTGTAGCACTCAGCCTTCAGCCTTCGGTTCCCAGAGGGTGTCCTGGGCATCTGGGCCCCCTAGTGCCCACACCCAGCTGGACTATCGCCACCCTTGGGGTTTGCTACTCACCCCACCCCCAACATATATGCACATAACACATACATGCAACACGCACCTGCACACACACACACACAACACACCTGCACACACACGTAACACTTACCTGCACACACACACACAACACACCTGCACACACACGTAACACATACCTGCACACAAATACACACACAACACACCTGCACACACACGTAACACATACCTGCAACACACACCTAACACATCTGCACACATACATAATACATACCTGCAACACACACATAACACACACCTGCACACACCCTGCTGGGGATAGGGAAAAGTCCTGAGTGACTCTCACCCCCGCCCAGTACTCACTGAAGCAGGCAGGGACTTGACCCTTACTCACACTGTGGGCTAGACATCCTGGGTCCCAGAAGCAGCATGCTTTCTGCTCCGTGACTCAGCATTAAAGCTGTTCTCTCCCCTCATTGTAGCTCTGGGAGAGTCACAGAAGACGGAGTCTGGCAGGGGGACATTGAGAACACCCTCCCGCCCTCAGGGTCAGGAATAGAGGAGGCCACTGTACCCACTCTACAGGGAGGTCTCCTCAAGTTCTGTTCCCTGCTGGCCTCACCTTGTCCCAACCCTCCCACCACCTCAGGTGCTGCCCCGTGTGTGCCAGGCGCCGGGATACTGTTGTTGAGATGTGTCATCAAGCCATTTTCAACTTATGACAACCCTGTATAGGGTTTCCAAGGAGTGGCTGGTGAGTTTGAAACGCTGACTTTGTGGTTCAAACTGACCTTGTAGTCTGTAAAGAATCAATATGGGGAACCTCAACTCAGTGTCTCTTTAATGCTGGGAGGTAGGTCTTGTCTTTCCAGTGGTCGGGACACCACTCAGGTACCAGTTTGCCCCTGGCAGAGCTGGATGCCCACCTGGGCTAGCAGGATGCAGTGACCACCCTCCTCTCCTGCCCCACCAGGATGAGAAACAGCACTCACCTATCTGCTCCCAGGTGCTTGGTCCGCAGGGTGGGTCTGACACTCCAATTGATGCTGGATCCTGGATCCAATGCCCAGCTGGTCCAGCTC